TTCTTTATCCCCTTTTATTTTCTAAAGCTCGCTGCGTTTTGTTCATCTCAAATTCACTTTTCAAAATTTGTCTGCCCCACCCAAACCTTACGGTGCTTTTGCTAACTGTATCAGTTTTGACTGATATGTTAAGAGTTATGCAAGCTAATTTGTCAGTCAGAATTTCTTTGTGAATGGTTCCAATTTGGCACTCCCAAGCACCGCCAAAATGTGAAGCATGAGGTGGGTTGAAGATCCACTTGCACCCATGATTGTTTAAGTAGCTTTCCACTTTACATTGGTCCATCTCTCTCAGGGTGTCTCTCAGTTTCGATTTTCTCCCAAAGAAATTTGTGCCCCGATTGCACCAGAGCATGGAAACAGGACCATGAAGTGAAAGGAACCTTCTCAGGGCTCAGATGAAGGAACTGGCATCCATGGACATCAACAGTTTGACGTGGATCGCTCTGCTACTTAGGCAAGTAAACACCAGTCCCCAGCATTTAGAGTTGGCTGCTCCAAGTGTCTTCCTGGTATGTACCATCAAAGGGCCGAAAATGTCGAACACAATGTTTGTGAAGGGAGGGGCTACTTACGTCCTGTCTGCTGGTAGGTTGGCCATACACTGTTCTATCACTGGCCCTGCAAGTTTCTTGCATGTAACACACTTGATCAACTCCCTGGTTACAGTTTAGCTGCCTCTAATCAACCAGTACCCAGCTTGGCGGATGGCACCATGCACAATCTGACAATCTTGGTGGTGGACTTGTCTGTGGTAATGATGTGTTATCAGATCGGCAACGTGGTTTTTCTTCGGAATAAGAACGGGATGCATTTCTCCAAACTCTAAAGAAGCGCATCGAAGACGGCCTCCTACTCATAGAACACCTTCCTTATCCACAAAAGGGTCCAAGCGGTACAGCTTTGAACTCTTTGGAACAGTCTCCGGTTTCTTCCTCTTTGCATTTTTCCGCTCAGTTCTTTTGAAAGGCTCTTGCTTTACACGGTGTGAATAATTGCTGTCATGGCCTCCTGAAGTTCCTTTGCCGTTGGCTGCTGCATAAGTTGTGTGTTTGTCTTGCTTGATATCTCCAACCCAGTGTTTCTTTGACTCCTGTTCTTTCTTTGTTTGAACTCCTTGATAACCACGATGACATTTGAGATTGCACGTTGCAGGGAATGAAGACTTGAAAAGCATGAAAACCTCTCTACTCTGAGACCACGACATCTACTGGTCTGTGTTGTAAGGCTCATGGCATACTTGCGCACTTCCGAATTGTTCTCATTTAGTAGGATCTCATCGTCTTCGGCTTCTGCTGCTGCTGCTGTTCTTTACGCATCTCTAAAGAAGCTTGGTCCGGTTAGCCAGTCCAATCCTAAGAGACTTTGCACATTCAGAAAATATGTGCTCAGATCTGCAGGATTATTGCTCATATGGACATACTTCCACTGTTTGGGGCTGGAAATCTTAAGGATTGTTTGTACACGGTTAGCAATGTAAACATAGAACCTCCGACTCTCATTCTGGATGTAACCAAGGACAACCTTCGAGTCCACATAGAACGTGATCTTGTTGATCTCCATGTCTATCTCTTTCACGATCTTGTCTACTGCTTGCAAGGCAAGGACCATGGCAAGCAATTCCAGACAGGGGATGCTTGTGGTCTGAGCAGGTGCCACCTTCAATTGACGAAAGAGCAAGGCTGTGCAGATCTCTCCTCTATCGTTAAAAGTAGTAGGTATATTGAAGCTCCAATTGCGTCCTTTCTGGCGTCTGAAAGGGTGTGGATTTCCCTTCTTACAATTTTTCCAGAACCAAGTGAGGAAGCGAATTTCTCCAACGTTGCCACTGCGACAATAACGTGTCTGGTAGAGGGTGGTTTCTTCCCAAGAATATTAGCTGCTGAAGCAGTAATTTTCCTTCAAGTAACACTGGCACTGCTAGGCCTAACGGATCATAAATTGAGTTCACGACCGATAGAACTCCTCTTCGGGTGAATGGCTTTTCAGGAAGGCAGACCTTGAACGTAAGGGTGTCTTCCTTGAGGTTCCAGTAGACTTCTAGAGAGCACTGTGCGGGAAGGCTATCACGCCAAAGATCTAGATCTCATACTCCCTTTCCCCTGTCTTCGGCTGGGAATGCTTCTATGGCTTAAACTGAGTTGGATATGACCTTATGAAGCTTTAGTTTAGCAGTGGCTAACATTGGCTGAGTTGCGGTGACGAGATCGATTACTTCTTTGGTAGTGGGTTGTGATGCCAAACCATCGTCTACATAGAAGTTGCGGTGTACAAATTTGGCTGCATTTTCTCCAAACTTCTCCTCGCCGTCAGCTGCGGTCTTTCTTAAACCAAAGGTAGCCACAGCTGGGCTTGGTCCATTTCCAAAGAGATGAACATGCAATCCGTACTCCATTGTCTTTTTGCTGGGTGTATTGTCTTCATACCAGAGAAAATGCAGAAAGTCTCTGTGATCTGGATCGACGTGAAAGGAATGAAACATCTGCTCGATGTCACACATGACAGCTGTTGTCTCCCTCCTAAAGTGCAACAGAACTCCTAACAGGCTGTTCATTAGATCCAGACCCGATAATAACTCTCTTTTCAGCAACACACCTTATTTGGCTGAGGAGTCGAAAACCACTCTTATTGGGGTTGGCTTCTTCGGATGGTAGACCCCAAAGTGCGGGAGGTACCACATCCGGCCAAACTGGGGCCCAGTGAGTTCTTTTGGCACCGGGGAGGCTTGGCCCTTTTCAATGATCTTGCCCTTAAACTCCATGTAGTCTTTATCCATTTGGGGCATTCTTTTTAAGGTGCAAATGAGGCCATTTAGGCAGTTGGCTGCTTGACTTCGATTGTTTGGCAAATGATTTTTATGGTGGAAAGAAAGGGGCTACAACTTATTGAGGCAAAATTTGGTCATGGCTAATATTGTTGTCATGGCAACCAAATGACCATTAGCTGACCATTTAATCGACATTTTTGCCGGTAAATTTGCTCCTATTTTAGTGGTCAAATTTTGTCCCATTAAGTTGTAGTAGTCTACATGTGAAACACTTGAGCCAAGTTTGACTAACATACCTTAAATCTAAGTGACAAAAAAGTAGGGAGGAGTTCTGGTAGTAAGAAAAATGGCCATCTTTCAAAAAATAGCCTTAAAGATTTGTAAAAGAACAAAACAATGAAAATCACTTCCATTCTCTCAACTACCTGATTTGCTGTGATATTTTACCATAATATTCAGCAGGGAATACCAGTGTATTCACCAGGGAATGGTTTTTATGTCTGTTCATTTCTTTTTTCTCTCTCTTGGTGGTCCACTGTTCAGTCCAAGATCACTGAAGCCTCCTGCCACATGTCACACCTTCCCCATATGTCACACCTTCCCAGTTGGACCTCAGCTCCTCATCCCTTTGTCGTGCCTGCCTCCCCATGATTCTGTAGTCCTTGTACTGTTTGTCCGATCTTGCCTCAGCCTGTTTCACTCTGTTAGAATCTCTCCTCTTAAATACTTGCCTTATATGGTCCCCCACATTCAGTCCAGCCTGCAACAAGACCTGTTTCTTCATGGAGGCACCATTGCTGAAGTGTAAACTAGCAGAACATGTTGCCATTAGAACTATTTTCCTTCCATGCCATTTACTCTTAGGGCACTTACTCCAGACGAAAGCATTTATGGATTCATTTGAATTCCGTGTGTCACCAGGCAAACATCTTGCAAGGAGGGCAGGTTCACTCAGTCTGTAATAAATTGGTTCAAGACATTTTTTAAAAACTGGATCAAGAGATGTAACTGCTCAAGCCAAATCTACTTGTATAGTCTTCTAACTCAACATGGCCTAAAAGAGCCAAAACAAAATCAACAGTTAAGAAATTTCATAACTTAGCTATTAACCCTTTATGGCCCACACTCAAAATCAAGAAGGTGGTCTCTAAGCCCATAGCAAAATGGCAGTACATCCAATAATAACGAGACTGTAAGACAAAATTCTCTTTTCCTCACAAACAACAACATAACAGAGACCCCAAAAAATACAGGCACTCTTGAATATTTGATTCTTCATAATATCACATTTTCAAAGTATTCAAGCAAAACAGCAGTGGATGAAAAATCTTAACTTTTGACAATAAAAATGAAAGTGTTAAACTGTCTCTCTCTTCATTGCAAATGTGCATCTTTGGACTGATTACATTATTTACTGTCAAAATGTCTTACTTTAGTAGATTATTTCACAATTAAACTTGATGCCAAGCATTTACAGCAACAATTTGAAGAACAAGTCAAATAAAATAGTTTTGGCTCGGTCAACTAAATTTGAATTTCGCGCCCTCCATTTTGATCTGTGCAAGTGTTCCTCACGTTGTATGGTAGGGCTCAAAGCAGCCAACACACAGTGTTACAGCACACAAAGCGCATCCCCAGCTTGAACGGTGCCTTTGGCCTCTTGATGCGCAATAAGAACAGCGATTCAAAGTCACATGGATGGGAAAATGCGCCTTCCTGCCCCGCACTTCAATCTCAGTCTCCTTTCCTTTTGCGACATGAATAATCGCCGAGTAGTTGATCGATCAATTGTAGGCGAAATTTGAGCTGTGAGGTGGCTGTGATTTGGTGAAAGCTTCCGTAAAATGTATGCCTTCACCATGGCCGTTTCAAAAAGAAAAAATGCCAGGTAACAGTACCAGCGCTGTGATTTGATAGGAATACGGTACTCATTTCGCTTCTGATCCGTGTAGTCAATGCCACCCATGTACTTATTGTATGCAGCGACATACGGCAGTGCATTCGAGGTAACTCATGTGCCATCTCTCTTCCTGTGCCGAACAGTATCAGTTCCAGTTGGCTGACAGTTTGTTGTGGGAAAGTTTACTTTCTTTTTATCTTGCCACGCACATGCTCTAATGGAATCTCGTTGCATAACAAGGGATTCACCACGGTCTATTTTTGCCTCCTTGAGCTGTAGAGGGAAGTCTTTCCTGTTTGAGCGCGTGGTTGTGGCGTAAATATTATCCTCTAACAGGTCCTTCATGAGCTTGTATGATGAAAAAAAATTATCAAAATAAAGATGATAATTTCCATTTACTAAGTCCCTGGACAGGACCTTGACAACCCTCTCTCCCAGCCTATATTCTTGTCCTTGATTTGGCCTCCCCGTGTAAACTTGAAACTGGCACACAAAATGGCTGACCGAATCCGCACGGATCCAAACTTTAATTCCACGCTTAGTGGGTTTTAAAGGCATGTATTGTTTAAAGGCAAGCCTTCCTTTGAACTTGACGAGACCCTTGTCAATTGCATTTTCTCTATTTGGGTTGTAGCCGGTGGAAAATATCGTCAATGACATCCATCACGGCAGCTCTTTTCTCGATAGGTGGTTTCGCAGGTGCTTTGAGTGGTGTGGGAATTATAATTTCTGTGCCTTTGACAAGCATTGCGGGTTTGCTTGCTTTCGCGTCTGCTGCGATGACTCTCGCGAACAAATCTCTTGTGAAAAAGACTGAGAAACACGAAAAAACTGTCTCTCTTGCTGAAGCGAAGCAACAAACAATCAGCTGACTCGTGTCAAAGGCTTTGAAAGACTCTTCGATATCAGATGCTGAATTTGCTTTGATATTGAATGAAATTGATCAATATCATTCATTGAAAAAGGAACTC